AAGTACGCATATGTGTAGACCTAAAGCCGCCGGCACACACCCATCGTCAATCAAATCCCACCATGGCCAAGAAACCGTCGTTGTCAATATCAGTAGCGAAGGCAGTCTTCGCTAGCTCTTGGCTAGTGTTGCGAACCCTTCCAACCGCAACCGCACTGCCCTCGTTTGGCACGAAGATTCCCAACGGAGAGCGCGTTCCATGCCCACCCGACGAAACCGAAGCCTCCGAGGGCTGCACCCCGAGTGGTTTTTGCTTCGGCCTGGGGCACCCCAGCTGCGGCGGATTCCAACCCGAAAATCGGGACTCCGATACCGGTGTCATTTCGCTCAACCCCTTTGGAGACGACTGGAGGGCGACCGGCTTTAAATGGACGGCCGAACTGTGCGGGCTCGATTCCGACGGGGATGGGTACACCAACGGAGAGGAGCTCGGRGACCCGTGTTGCACCTGGGTAGCGGGATCAAGCGAGGGGGCCAACCCCGTGCCCATCGAGGCATTTGTCCCGTCCCACCCGGGATTGGCCTCGCACGTTCCAGAGGGCCCGGTCCTGGACCTAGCCACCTTTTGTGAAAGTGAAGGAGGCAGCGGCGAAGCGATCGTTGSAGATGTTGAAGTCGATGCTGCCGAGGATGAGGATTCGTCTCTGTCTTCCGTCGTGGATGCTCGCTACAACGAGGGCGAGTCCAGGGGGTCGCTCGAGCTGCGTATGAATCCCTACCCCATCCCGATCCGCACCACCACGTACGTCGATTTTGTCTTCAACCTTCCGGATGATTTCCCGGACCTCGTTCACGTTGTGTTTGCAGAGGTCATTAACAGCCAACCGGATCATCTTCACCACTTTGTGTTGACGGGGTGCACCAACGCTTTCCCCGAGGACCAGCATGGCAACCCTRTAGACGACGTCTCACCCACCGATTGCAACGTGCAACTGGGCGGATGGGCACCGGGGATGGACCCCTTTGGAACACCGAGTTCGGAGTACGGTGTCGCTCTCGGGCCTGGCATGGGGATTGCCGCACTCCACCTCAACGTCCACTACACGGATGGTGTATACGAAGACGAGGACACCGAAACCCACAAGATGGCCACGGAYGGCATGAAGATCCATTACACTACCGACTTTCGGCCTTTTACGACCGTCGCAAAACCCCTTATCTGGGTCACCTACGGGCCTAAGAGCCTGGCCATTCCAGCCAACGAGTCCAGGTTCTACACATCCCGGACCTGCCAGGTCSAATCGTCCTGTACCGATGCGCCGGACGAGAACCTACAACGACTCGTCAAGCTGATGGGGCTCGCTGGTGATGACGAAGACGGAGACGGAGAAACAAGTGGATTAGCTTCCATGCTTTCGAGCCTCTCTTGCMAATCAGTGGCCGCCTTTTGTTTTCTCCCCGGAGAACTACAGAGCYTGATGCAGATGGTTTGCCCCGAGACGTGTGGCCTTTGCGGAAGCAGCGGTGTCGACGGTACAAGCAACCCCCGCAATCCCGAGAGCTATCGSATCACGGGGATCCATTACCATGCCCACTTGCTTGGATCGGAGATGTACGCGACGCTGCTAAGAGAAGAAGAAACCCAAAGCGGCACCATTGATGTGCAAAAGAAAAATATGGAACAAGCGACCGAGGTTGTGGCAAGCACCAGAGTGGTGGCAAAGGACCTCAAGAGCCGCGATATCTGGCACTACGACGACCAGGCTTCCATCCCGCTGGAGTATGATTTGTTTGTGGAAAAACCGGTGGAGGAAGGATTTTCGAACGACAGCAACAACAACGCTACTGCTGCCACTGCCGCAACTGTAACGAAAGTGCTGAAACAAGGCGTGATGGTGAAAGCCGGGGACGAGATCTCGGTCACGTGTGTCTTTGATTCCACGGCCCGACAGGAGCCCACCGCCTTTGGTCCATCGACGTACCAAGAAATGTGCATTGTCACCGTCTATGTCACGTTCGATACCCCGCGAGTCCTGCTTGATATTGGTGAGGAATCATCGTCGGTGCTGTCTTCCACAGCAAACTTGCTTGTCGATTTGAATCTCCGTTCCTTTGSCTGTGGCGTCGACGACGAGTTTCACAAGACGGACGTCCACACGGGGACCCTTAGCGAGGAAGAGGACGGCCGGAATATCTGGAGGGACCACCCGATCGGGGACACAAAGAGGTGCACCTATCCTGTTAGAGACTATATCTTTAGCGACAGCGTCATTACCAGAGACGAAATATGTCCCGAAGACGATGGCGACGAAGACGKCGAGGAGGAATTCTCCAAGGGCGCCGGGATTTGTGACTCATACAACCCCCTTCCTTCCGTCGAGGTGCTTTTCATGGACGCAACAATCGCCGGGGCAACATGCACTGGTGGAAAATATGACCAAATGGACGGAAACGAGCAATTCGACAACGTGACAGAAGAAATGTGCCTCGTTGAAGGAAAGGGGTCCTCCTACGAGCCCTATACCTGCCTCGACGCCCAGGACTGGTTGGATAACACGGCCCCGTTCGACCCCTCCATCAACGATGAGGTTCTCGACTTTGTTCGCGACGTGTGGCAAGGGATGTGCTGCCGCCTAGGCAGCATCGCCATGGATGTCGAAGAAGAAGAATCCCCTTTGAAAACGGTCGATGCAATTGACGAGAAGAGCGAGGAGGAACAAGATGCCAAGGCCGGCGATGTGACCACCGCCGAGGCAGGAATTTCATCGTCGTCGGTGGTGAGCATCCTCTCGGCGGTTCCTGCGACCCTGTTGGGTACCCTGGCCGTTTTTGCCTCGGTGGTATTCTAAAACGAGGTGGACTCTGTGCTCGTTTCGTCTCCTCCGCCACGATTCCTTGCGCTGCGTTTCAGAAGGGRGGGACCGACAGGATTCAACTTGCGTTGCTGCCCGATGGCCGGATGCATCGATGGCAACGACCGTTTATTCATCATCGTTGTTACTCTATTTGTACATTCATATTCTCRWATACCACTTTTAAAATTCAAATTCTCACTACTTGGAGGCTGCCACTTAAACCCACTATTTATTGATTGTAAGTGAGCAAGGTGCTTTAAGAAACGAAAAGATTMAATTGCCGTACAGCGTACGTGCCATTGTAAATACAATAATATTATTATGGTTCAATGTGAAATCACGACAATTGTTATTGCCTGTATTAACACAGGCATTTTTACGAGAACAAGGAAATGTCATATCAGATCAAACCTCTTGTCGAWTCATACAGTTGTCTTCGTTGCTATTGTGATAGTTGGGCGCGTTGGCAGTATTATTGCTGCTGTACCTTGTATTGATACTTCCTTTCCTGTAGGTTTCATCAAGGTTTTCTTATGGGCTAGTATAGCTTGCGAAATTTGGTCTAACTTTGGACGGAGTTGTTGCAATTGCTCCCGTTGCATTTGGTATTGTTTCTTGTTCCAGCTGCTGGTGAAACTGTTTTGGTTGGCAATGTTCCGATATGCTTTGCGTTCATTGAAGTGTGATTTTTGTGTCCTTTGCGGTAGTTTTGGTGGAATGCAACAACAAGCGTTGTCGCTCCTTGTAGTTTTCTTTGTTGACAGAACCCCTCAGTCACCATAACCTTCATTGATGGCAGCAATGCGTATGATGAACCCCTCCCACCTCACTTTCAATTTGGAACCAGAGCCAAAACTGAAGAACCAATGAAACTGAAGATGGAAACAATATCATATTGCAAAAAGGTTAGAGTTTCATATGGATACCATGATTGGTCAGGTGAAGAGAATTGTTCAACATTCCCAGYGGCAGTGGGTATAAATGAAAAAGGAGGAATGGATGATGCTGAATTTTTAAAGTACCTCTTCAATARTATTGTRCCTCTTTTTCCTGATGCTGAAGATTCATTTGGAAAGAAAGTAATGATCAMAATTGATTCGGGTCCAGGGAGGTTAAATATTGACATGCTGGCAAAGCTCCAAGCCCATGGCTTCATTTTGTATCCATGTGTTCCCAACGCCACTGCTTTTTCACAAGAGACAGATGTTTCATATGGCATTTTTGAAAGCAAGTTCTGAAGTAATCTCAAAAAGCTCACTGATGATTGTCTGAAGAAAAGGCAAACAGTGTCCTTCACACCTTCCATAGTAGGGCTTCTAGTATTTGGTGGTACTGATAGGGTTGGTGGATGCAGTGGATATGTTGACAGTTTTGCAGCGCTAATTTTTTAGAGAGAAGAATCTGGAGGCATGGCAAAAGGTAGGAGCTGTGCCTTGTATTATGGCATGTTTGAATTCAAAGCTTGTACGTCACGACAGTGCTRGTGACCCAAATGCTGTATTGTTGAAGATATTGCTCCTTGTCTAGGTCCCMCTACTACTCTTCCTCAAGTGATCAAGCAGGCTATTATTGATGTGATGGTCTCTTTTCCTGATCTCACTTGTTGTGCAGAGATGAACATGAAACCCAAGTGACCAGAACTAGTCCAAATGCCTAAAGTGTGCCTTGAAGGAGCTCCAACAGTACTGAAGGACAAGGAGTCACTGTTTAAAAGGATCCACAAATTTGTTGTGAAGCACCTCAAAGTCATCACTGGTAGCACCAAGATCAAAGAACAGAGAGCAATTTGGACAACCTATCAAGACCTATGCTTTCATTGACTCCCTCTGTTGTAATCTTGTGAATCTTGGAATTTCTTGCCTTAGGGAGGATGACAAAGAAGGCAAGTGCAAGCTCCTCATGTTCTTTGCTAACCAGTTGCATTGCAAAGTGAATCTTGATGAGAGTGGTGTCACCATGCTGGATCGCAACTCTCATCAAGCCAGTGGTTGAACACCTACAAGATATGCTTCTGCAACTCAMATAACAATCATATTGTATGCAGTGGTGACTGTACCAATACCAAGAGCAGTGTTACTATGTTCAATATCATTGCAGGAATTTTCATCAACTCTGGTATAGGTAGAAATTGGATGGGAAAGTGTCAGGGTCAGGGGGGAAACAGACATGTGGCTTTACTAGTAGGACAAACATATCTGACTCCTCTGTTTATTTACCAGGAGAACGGTGTGACCATGGAAAGCTTTATTGCTTTGATCCARCCAAGCAATATAACACAAAAAAGCCGTCAAGCCAGGAGGCTCCAAAAAACACAGGAAATGGGAATCTGAACTGAGGTCCGGATGTGAGATTTTGGTCTTATGCCAGATGGAGACCCTTGTTGGAGTGTTTTTCTGGAGTAACACATCATGTATCAAATAATTCTGCAATAAAGCCGGGCAGGGTTCCAGTGGGAATAGTTAGGAATCCAATAGTTGCTATTGTCTTCCTCAAAGATAAGGCAGTATGATTCCAACAATGCCACAAAAGTCAACTTGCATGAGAAACAGCAGTGGAGGATATAGTACTGTCATTCTAGTAGTGGAACACAGACAGCATGCTGAGTAATAAAATTGATACTTCTGTTGTTTCAGACAAACTGTAGCACCARTTGGTAGGATGCCATTGCAAAATTTTGTGACAAGGACATTGTTCCTATCAAGGCAGGAGTAGATAACAATATCRTATAGCATTGGCAGAGAGATTCTAGTTGTGCCATTTGTACATTAGCAATCCTTAATATACATACACGTATACTATATTTAAAGAATCAATAACCCTCTATAACCCCCCGCACCATGGCAATATTTGTCTTTAAATTCCCTTTTGATTCATGTGCTTACCATGCTTAAGCATCTGTTGGGGACAAAGTTATCTATAGCTGTTCAAGTAAGTTGAGCCTCTCTTTCTTAATGTTCCACATGTTTTTCTCCTGTGTGTTGATTTTGGGCCATCTAATTACTGTGCAATGACTCATGGGATTAAAAATTTGACTTCTACTAGGGCTACTACAACGCACGTGCAAGCAAAACTATTTTGGTTGCACGACTGGTGCTATTCAAAAATTCAGCATGTGTTTGCTGTGCGTTAACTACAATACAAGCCAGTTTTTTAGTCAAAGTAGTCATTACATGCAAAATAAGGGCCTAAAATGTATGACTGGTGCATACCAAAGCCAACTCTACATGATAGAGACACTTCCACCAAGCTACAACCTTGAGGATATAACTTGTCCACTGAATGTTACCACCAGCAGTGGCTGCCTAACATAAATTGTAACACAAACCATGTTATTACAAATGTAGCATTCAGGACAAGCATGGCCAATAGAATGTCAAAGTCACTAGTACTAGAGTAACATGTTCCTCATAATCATACTTTCCTCTCTGGTGATACTACTAGAAATACAACTCAGTTTACAGACAGACAATACTACTATAGTGACAAAGTGCAGATTTCCACTTCAATTGCCACTCATCTAGGTTCATAAAATGCTGAAGAACAGTGTTTCAACCAGCCAAAGTGCCACCAGATTGAGGTGAGTTGATTACACTTCACAACTCAGGCTCATGTGTTGTATCACTGATTGATACATATATGATAATAAAAAAATCTTAATATTATATTTAACCTCGTGAACTAGTACTAGAAGAGGCACTATATGACCAAGGGGCAGCACCTCCCTCCAAGGAGGTTTTGTGGAGGCACAACCAAGTGATACATATATGATAATACTAGACAAAAGCCAACCCAAAATATGATAACAAACAAGCTACCAATAAGTGTTCTGTAGCAAATTCTACATGATGAAAAGTTTTGATGTTGTCATCCAAGGAGAGACAAATAATATGGAAGCTGTCAAAAATACATCATGTACTACTAGAAGCTTGGAAAAGCATATCAGACACTACTACTACTGCTATGCAAAGTTCAATTTTCAAAATGATAGGGACCGGGAAAATCCATAGCTAGTATGGCACTACTAGATTGTTGCTTCTTTCACTTTCATACTTAAAATATATACAATTGTCTGATTTATTGAAGAAAAGGATGGTATTGCTGCAGCAAGTAGGGCCACTACTACATACTAGCACAAGATCTTGAGGCAAGAACCATGAACAATAAGAAAGAGCAGTCCATCTATTTTCTATCAGGGCCTACTAATGGTGGTACTGGAAAATCAAGAGTAATTCATTGAACTCAATCCAGTGGGAGGAGACTCCATCTTGTCAACAAAATATTTYKMTCTTGAGGAAAGAAATAATCAACATATTTCTTGAACTTTAAACAACAAAGAACCACAGGTTTGGATATGATGCAGTAATCTACTGGAGCTTTCTTGATGGTTTAAGGAGAAATGGCTTSAAAGAAGAGCAGCATATTCAAACTATCGAATCAAGAATTGTACGAACCTTGGGACAAACTTGTCACAGAAGATATCGCCTACTATGCAACAACTTTAAGTAATGCAGACTAGTAGTAGTGTGCAATAAATGATGGCATAAATTCTGAGCTTCGCAAATTGACACATTCAGAAATTCATACCATTGTAATGAAGAAGACCTCAAACCAAAAGACAAAACAAGAAAATGCAGAGATATGCCAGATTTTCAGAAATACTAGTACTTACTGATACAAATTGCCACATCAGATGCTGATATTGTTCTTGCAGGTGGAACCAAAACTTCAAAAAGGATATATCCAATGCTTAAATTGTAGTATGTTGGTTGACCTGTCATGATTCATGACAACATATACTATATTGAAAGCAAACACCACCATGGAGTCATTTGTTGTACATTCAAGTCTGTCAAACTGAAAAATGGGTACCAGGATTGTGAAAGTATCAATATTGATGGATATTTTATTTGATGCGTAGATGCTGAGAAAGGTGAATGGATAGCAGAGATGGTCCTTGAAAAAGGAGACTAAAAAATACTGCAGCAACAGCTAAGTTTTGATGTACACAAAAACATGAAACTCAAAGAAGTTGCAAAGGAACACATTAAATTGAATTAATATTGCCAATATAAGACCTGTTCATAAATTACAGGGAAGATCTTTCTAAAATATTTTGGTTTCAACTTGGTCTTACTTGAGGAATTGGATTTCTTTTGTTGTGCTTTCAAGAGTTAGGACTTCAAGTAGTGGTCTGCTTTTAAGAACACCTCTTCTCCTTACAAAAACACTACAACCACTACCMCCATCCAACACACACAACAAATCAATGAATTCCATTCCTGTCAAAGMAACATGAAACAGCCAAAGTGCTTTCATTGATTAGCTTCAAATTCTTTTCAGAGCAGTACTTTCCGCCTTGCTGGCACTAAATTAGTTTTTACACTTTAGAAATTATTTGCATTCGTGAGTCCATTCTACATACCTGTACTATTGAAGGCAAAAACAGTGATTGGACTTTTTCCAGTCTTGTCCTTCCCATGCAATATTCATTTTTCGTAGTTTTTTTTTTCTAGTGAACTCACTTTACTCTCTTCTTAGTAAACCTGTGTAGACTCCATAACAAATTCTATTTGGCAAAAAACTATATGTTTTCTTCCTTTTTTGGGTGACTTCCAAGAAATGTTCAATCCATCCCTCCAGCTTATTGACAAAACTTTAGATAAATGGAGTTTGTTGAGAACAAGCATTCATTCTTTGGTCATTATCRTTTGTTTTGAAGACCTTTGGTATTGACACCAAAGTTAATATSTYCAAGGGATTGACATTGATTGACACTGATTCTTGATACTAGTCAAYGCACAAAGATATCATCATRTATATGAAGATGAGGAGTAGATAGATGTCAAAGATTAGGCGCMAATTTTACACCAACARCAAAMATGGAAAACTCAAAGAAGAAGCATGATGATAASGAATYCTAATTTTTTAAGCTTCATACAACTTCCATGATAATCTATTTGAGATTCTGGTTTGGTTCCTAGCTCCCTCTTACTTTCAATRTCATGACTAGATCTTCTAAGGTTGAACACCCCATAGCTAAACCAAGKAAGCTCATTTCAAAAGTCATTCATGCTGCCACCGGTGTTCGAATCTGTGGTAGCGATACACCAACAGAGGCAGCTGTCATACCGCTTGCTTCTTGTTTCTGTGCAATGGCAGTCTCGGACTTTTCGTTTTGGAATCGACGTCGGTAGTCTTCGACAATAYCTTCTCCTTTTGCTTCCCATTCATTTCGATTCGTTTCCGCATAATTCAAAAACTCCTCACACGACACCCCAAACACAGCACACTCTCGCAGTTTTTTCGCCAAGGGAATGACATAAGAATCAAAGAACCCAAGTTCTCCCTGGTACCAAAACTCTGCAGGATTCTTGCCCATTCTTCCGTTTCGATACGCSTCGTTCAATTCGTGAAAAAGCCTCTCATTCTTTGCGTTCAAARTAAGAGCAGGAAGTAATGGCAATCAACATGGACAGCGAGCACAGGGTAAATTAGAGACAGAAGTGGAAAAAACAATGTGATCAATTTGATAAGATTCATAACTACACTATCGCATGYGCTATATACACCAAGCGCAACGCTTACCCATTTTATGTATACGTGCCAGTGTTGCATAGTGTGAGCCACATCGCTTGCTTGAATCAAATGCTCTAAAACAATCATGACCCGGAGCGCATCCRAATTATCTACACCATCTTGAATCTCTAWTCTGTTGTTGCTGCTGACACCTGGGTTGTTAGAATCACTGAAGACGTGTTTCCAGCGCAAATTTCTGCTCTCCTTTAGATCTTCGTCGAAAATGTCCGTAGCGAGAACGGCGTTGACCACCAGTTTCCACAGGCGCATTTTTTCGGAGGCAGTTGGGCACAGGCACTCGACAAGATTGCCGTATTCCGGTTTCATTAGAGTCGYCCAAGCCAAGTTGATCGAATGGTTCTCGGCAGGAGATTTTCCGTGATATTTGATAGCCAAGCTATTCTGCTCTTTCACGAGTTGATTATTTGATACTCCCTGGAAGAATAATCCGARAGGTGAGACACGGAACAAGGTAAATGGGTGAWAAGAAACGGTACGAAMTAGATTGAATATGGGCTACGACGCAGAAAGTCGGAAAAACATAACTGGGAGAAACGTTGAACTTACGGGATGATCGACGTCGTGTATTAGAGCCGAATATACAACAGCGAACTGAGCTAATGGGTCGGTTGTAATATCGTCCGCGTACCGATTGATGGATATTGATSTGGTCGTCTCGTTTGTMCCTTCGACTCGGGACARCATCTTTTCCATACTAAGAGTTACGTGAGATGCATGCTGTAAGTGAAGAAAAGAAATGGAAAGCAAATTTAGTGTTTTAGCGCGYATGTTCACGTAAGCTTTAAAATGTGGCAGGTAACGGACSATACTACAATCATYGCTTACCTCATAATTGTGAAACGGATTATCTCTATACATGCAGGCAATTTCGAGCACGTATCGATGAAGCTCATTTGCAACATTTTGACTSATTTCGACGTGAACAGCACTTTCACGGTACCGTAGAATAGACTTGATGCGACGAAATARTACTTCGGTATTCCACTTGACAAGCCGTTGCGTTTTAATTGAGATGCAAYTATTGWGGGGTTGWAGGTTTGCCAGTGGCTGCTGAACGGAGTTCAACGCGCTCATGATTGTRTCAGCGTCACAACCTGATGTGACGGATACAGTTTCATGCTTTCCATATGATTGCTTGAAAAAGTACGTTTCTTGCAAACCTTTGCCCTTCACGTCGACTTTCTCTGAACGTTTTTCCAACCACTTCCCTTTGCCACGATCGATCAACAGTTTGGCCGTCGTTTCCGAYATCTGAATTCTATTCTTGACGCCGGTACTTTCCATTCTCGATGCCTGGTTCATGGTGTCACCAAAGAGCTGAAACCGGGCGTTTTGTCCTCGCAAGACTCCACCTGTAACTGGTCCAGAATGCATTCCAATTCTAACAATGAAAGCAAGTCGTAATTAGATAGATTATAGATTTGATACAAGCAGTGACAAAGGAAAAATACGCAACGATTCTTTCAGCAAATCTCACCGAAACGCAAGGTCCGCCGTGTCTGGTCCTAGCGCAACTTCCAACTGCTGACTCAAAGACGCCATCCGCAGCTGACAATCACGAGCAAATCGAACCATCGCAATGGCATGGTCCTCTCTTGGGTCAGGAAGCCCGCACACGGCAACATAGCAATCTCCGACGGTTTCGACCTTGAAAATACCTCGGYGCATGGCAATTTGGTCAATGGCACCGTACACAGTTTCCAAAAGGTGAAAAACTTGTTCCGGTTCGCGGGTGCTCGACCAAGCCGTGAAACCGGCGATGTCAGCTAAATTATACCAGTGGTAATGAACCAAAAAAAATGTAAGTGACGAAAGAATGATCGATGAATAGGTGCCGAATACGAAGCATATGTACTTAGGAACCGCAGAGTTGAAGATAGTGCAACCTACCAAACAAAACTGTAGTATCGGGGAAAAATGAAGCAATCTGGCTCCCGTCCTGTGGGGTTCCAGTTCCTTTTACCCCGTCTTGGACGCCCTTTAGAACCTTRTCTTGTACTTCCGAAGGGAATAGGGAGGCTACAACATGGAGGGCGGCAGTTTTGGTTTTCTCCCTCTTCGTGACCAATCGTTCGTACACCAGAAAGCAGAACGAGGTCAACGCAAATGCCAGAGCTACAACACCGGTATAAACTCTGAACAAGAAAGGGTGRCGAGTGAGTGTTAGAGCAAGMAATTTATTCGTCTTCAAAAGAGAAATGTCATAAAWAATTTTGGATTGCTTTTTTACCACAAATTTTGTGACTTACGCCGCTCTGTTGGTATTGTGAGATGTTTGAAACTCAGGGGTAGGATAGATATGCAGATCGTGGATGCATACATTTTCTGAGATAGTGTTGTAAAGCTCGAGCTGGATGGTAGCCTCGTAGTCGTCCATTCCCTTGTGGAGATCGTCGTAACCAATGAAGATGGCATCGGGTCCGTTTATTAGATACGTTAGAGTTGTGTCGCAAGCACCTCTGCCCTCTAGGACGCAATAAATACCGTCCGCGCCCTCTGGTAGGATGCGCTCAAAAAGGTGTCTGTAGGACGTGAGCCCCAGAACGAAACCCACTGGTTGCTCTGACACCGATTTGGTGTCAAAATTGGCAAACACCCGCTCCAAAATGAAAGTATGCGGCTCTTCTTTACGGTRCTTTTCTCCTGGGAGAAAGACCCAGTCGAAGASGTTTCCAATCTCGGTCGCTGACGACATCAGTGTTTGGTTGGTTTCGGTCGAGGCCYTGTACAAATCCACAAGCCGGGGGTCGGACAAGAGATCGACGTTGATAGTGGCTCCGTTGAAAGGGCTGYTTTGCCATAGAGGAGCAACAGGAATATCTCTTTCAWTGGCTATGGATGGTTCGAGTGGTACTCTCTCSCCGTCTTTCCAGTGCCAAATTGTTTCCGSGATGCCTTCGGTGATGTGTGAGGGTAGTGCAACCGCATTTGTAGGTGTTTGGACATCCACTAGATCAGTTTCGTGGTCTTGGTGAGTGCCTTGGAGGGGGCGCTGATGACCGGTGTGTTCGGCTTGAAGTTTCACACTTTCCTCGAGCCATCCTTGGTGCTGGACGGAATAGGTTTCCCATTCTCGAACTTGTGTTGTGGATGACTTCGTGAGCAGCAATGGTGCAAACACGACCGCCATTATGCCCCCCAATCCGTCGGTGAATCCACCAGTGACCTCAAAGTTTGGAAGGGTAACGAATGGGGCAGTTTGGTTACTTACCAGTATCTCCGAGGTGATGGTGCTGCCTAGCTGCTGGAGAAGGGCAAAGTTGTACTTGACTTCCCAGACAACGTCGTTCTGAATKGATTCGACGAAAGCTTCATACTAGGACCCAATTGTACAGCACATAATCGGAAAAYAGTGGAACAAAATTCAAAGTGAGTCCTTACTTCTTAGCTCCATCCAAAAGTCTAAGCAATTTCAGAACCGACACCAATTACCGTAGATCAAAATAAAGAGACGRGTAAATACAAGCGCAGAGAATAGGTCAAGCTTGCACTCACCTCMGATTCAAATTCATATTTGTCGAAATTCTTGGCAAAGAAATATACCACCAGACTAATGGTGATGGCGGCGAACACGATGAACGAGAGWGTGACTGTCCGAATGATTCGAACTTGTCGCTCTTCATTSMTGGCTATCTCCATCTGTTYTAGCTTGAYYTTGTCCAAGGAATCGTTGCCAAGATGTCTCGTGCTCACAKATGCGTGTTCGGACGACATWGACGGCACGGATCCGTCATCACTGTAACTAAAATCGTTATCTACTGCCATTGGGATGTCGCGGAGGTTATCTGCTGGGGTCGTAGATGCAGGKGTGGACGTGATGTTGGTCATGGTCGYGACGGTCTGCATGATTGTTGTGGTAATATTCAATGGTGTCTACTTGCGCAAGGTCCTCTCTTCGCAAGAATTAATAAACGTTCGCGATTTCTTCTCTTTATTTGAAGAACGATTTCTTTTTTCGTGCTTCATTTTATGAGAAGTCGCGCTATCGCGGGATGGAGAAGGATGTTATTCATAGCGCTGCAAAGCCCGATAGCCACTAAAAAGTGAGATTCGAGTTCCGTTTCGGCTTTGCACTCTTTGSGTTCAACAGAAAGGCGAAGGCGAAAAACTATTTGGGCTTTTAGCGTAATTCTACTAATAACACCATCCCACCGATAAAAACAGCTCGTACCTCGATGAGCCGGGGGTCGGAAACAGCGGTGGACGATGGTCAACAGTTTAGGCTWAGTTCTCGCATCTACCGCAACACTGTTGAAGTTAGAGCAATCTTCATTCAATGGAACAGAACCTTCCATTRTTGAGACGTTCCGAAGTTGTAACAGAGTGAGATTGAAGTGAGGTTAGCAAAACATTTATGCTGAAAACAAAAACAATCATCGACTGTCCGCGTTGTTAACATTGGGTCATTCCCGTTGCTGTACCTGGAACCAYGTCAATCTCAATTTTTAGGGAAATTATTAGATTCCCAGGCCCCCCTCCTGGTACCTAAAATTGTGATTGGTTTTGATCACAAAAAAATTTGATCAGAAACAACAAATTTGTGATCATTTTTTGTGATCAATCTTGATCACAAATTTCAACCTGATTGTGTAGAATTGCTACTAGCCCCATTATTATATTATATCTTGTTAATATCTATAACTAATGATACTATCTACAACTACTAGTAACACACAGCAACAGTCCTACTAGTAGTAGTACTAGTAGTAGTAGTAAGAATAATGGCCTTGCCAGCAGCAGCAGAGTCCTGGTGTCTGTGTGTACATAGTACTACTACTATGTCTTCCTAATTATGTGTGTGTTATTATATACTTCTATGAATGAATGAATATGCTATAAATGAATTGTCATATATTGGAAAAAATGTGATCAATTTTGATCACAAAAAATTATGATTAAGAAATTCAAAAATTTTGTGATCAGATCTGGTGATCACATTTTTGTGATCAAAACCRTTCACATAATCAAAAAAGGGGGACTGGAGAATTCACATTTCCCCAAAAAATCAAAATTGGCATGGTTCCTGGTATTMTAAATCCACTCTCAGAAATCTAGATTTGATAGACTGACAGATAAAATTATCGTGACTTATTCTAAATCTAGATTTTTTGAAAGAGGCCCCTCAAACCCCTTCATAAATGATATAAATTTAGAGTGCAATTCACAAGTAATATGTTTTGAGTCCCTCCTCTTTTATGCTGATTGATGGTACTACTAGTAGTGTGCCACCAGCAAAACAGGCATGCATTTATTTTTTAATAATGACTCCACATTTCTGCTGGTGGAGTTACTAGTAGTAGCTAGTACTGGTAATAGTAGTACTAGTATGAATTGTGAGGAACTTGTGCTACTAGTAGAATCTAGTGGTCAGATGACTGGACATTAAATCATGTCAATAAATAGGGCATTTTTGAATATTTAAGAGATTTGGAATAACAGGATGAGGAATGATGCATTATTTGAAATATGAGTATGCTCTTTGTTCTTGGTGCTGTAAAATTATGTGTTTGCAATASTAAAGATTGCTGAGGTTACTCACTACTACTAGCTCCTTGGTGTGACTGTGATTCTGTCTACTAACACCAAACAAGAATGATCACCAAAAAAGAGGAATCTGGTGGATACAGCACCAAACACCCAACACCTGACAACCAACACTATTACTACAGATAAGAGGAATAGCAAATGAGAGCTGCAAGACAGAGTTAAAATACAATATATTTATGTTTTATATTTTCAATTTAATAGAGGGGACAAGACAGGTTGTAAGAAGACAAGACAAGCAACAAAGAACAAGAAATATAGCTGGCCAGTGGTGACAATGTCATTGTCAGTGCTGCTCCTCCTAGATTTTGATGGTGCCTTGTCCTTCTGAGGCACCATTAGTACYACTAGTAATGAACCAGCATCAATTAATCAATCCATTAATTAGTTGGATTGTTCCTTGATACCCTCCTCCTATTAATTCAAATGCTTACATAAACTCTCTATTTGAAAGAGGYCTGTCCAATTGGTGTTCCATTTTGAGGCATTGACAGGCTCTTTTGTCATTCCAGATTACTGYAGCAATTAGATCTTTCACTTGCTGTGACATTGTAGGATTGTTGCTTAGAGCATTCTTTGGAATAAAAGAACACAGTGCCATATTGTAATATATAAGGATCATTCCTGAAGCACTTACCTTGGTAAAATTTACAGCATTGAGGTCTTGATTCTTGCGTCCATGTGCTTTCTTTGCAAAGAACCTGTACTAGTCGATATGATCTGGCCTTCTGTGGCTCAGCTCTTCAGAAGTGTTCACAAGAGTATCAGTGGGGAAATGTGTACCATTACTCACCCATTATGGCCGTGTCTCTCATGTACAAAAACCATGAATTCAAGTAGTACTGAGTGGTAGCAAAATAATTGTTGGTTTTTCATGCCTGATAGAGGAGCTGGTGCTCCCTCTTGGCGTTTGTGACCCTTGTTATGRTACCTTGCTCCTGCTGCTGCTGGACCTCTTGTCATGGTGCTTGCTGCTGATGCTTGCTTGGTTGCTTGATTTGCTTATTAGGAGCTTTATGTTGTAAGCAAAGAAGAGCTGAATAGTAGTACTACAAAGAAAAATCTGAGTGACTCAGGCTCAACACTTCTATAGTACAGGAGTAACAATTTGAAGTGGGGGTTACACAACCAGTTGTGGTACCAAAGCTGAGGTGCTAATACTGTTGTTTAGCAGAAACATATTACAAGGCACATGGCAAATTTAGGTTCACACACTGGCCTCTAGGGGATTTATGTTGATTTTCCTGCTAGTACTACCAGGGGGCCGTACAAAATATTTGAGAAATGGGTTGCAAAATATCTATTCAACAAGTACACATAGTAGTTGTATGAAGTAAACTATCAACCCTATAGAACACAGTACACAATCTATGTAGGCCTTATAAGGCAGTGTGCAGTAAGACTGGACCGGAGGAGTAYTGTGATGATTGATGAGAAATACTCACACAATCACACATGCAGAAGGGAAATTCTATCATAAAAAACATGCAAGTTGCAAAGGTAATTTTCCACAATGATCACGACACTTCATCACATTGACTCTCYTCCTGTCAGTTATTGAACTCCTTACTCGAAGCAAAAAAGTGCCCACAGTTAACGTATACACACTTCGAATTTGTGTTTTTTAATTGTATTTGGGGGGGGGACAACAAGTAATAAGGAAAGGATAGGACAACACACAGCAAAGAACAAATATAATGACAACAGCTGCAATACTATCTACTATGGCCTGCAAAGCAAGAAGTGATGTCCTCCATTTTTCATGGGGGCATAGTACTAGCTTCAAGAATAAAAGAGACCCTCTTTCCTGAGCCTCCATAAGAAACAGCATAAATTCTACAAATATCTGAATCTGAKTCAGAACCACCAGCCCAGATCAGGCAATTGACACAGGAGTCCCAGAACYTCTCCCTCCTGCAATATTTGCTCTTCACCCTGCCTTGATGAGCTACAGTAAAGTCCTTTACAGCTTTATTCTACCCAACTCAAACTTCATACTCATTCCAGAAAACATAAAGAAAGATCATAAGGACCTCACAGTTCACCAGGTTTGCAGTCTCCTGATCAGTTCCAGCTGACACTGCAGTGCCTGTTGCAATATTTGTTGTTCTTGGGCAACAACAAACAACTGGGGGGCTAGTATTGCTGCTCTCCTTTGAGAAAAGGCAATTGCTTGATTAAGATTTGTGTTTAACTTTGCCTCAACTGCTATTTGCCTGTTCTTGATATCATTTACTTCATTTGCAGCTGAGAATAGCTGGGAAAAGATTGCACAATTCTATTGCAAAAGAAATTCTTCTAATGGCAACACCTCCTCCTCCACCAGCACTGCCACCAGCTCCTCCTCCAGCACTACCACCTGGATCTGCTAATTCATCAAAGCAAACCTGGCCATGACATATCTCATTTCTAATGATCTCCACTCTTTCGATAGGCTTGACATAGTAATCATCATCTATTAATATTTTGAGGCCAAAAGGACAGCTGAACATAAGCAGCAGCAACATCCTCTTTATATCATCCAACAATAAGCCACTTACTTGTATTGCAGGCTCAAAGCAAGCCTGCAGAAAAGACTTTCCTAGAATCACTGCAAATAGATTGCCAAAGACACATGCAATTGCTGGCCCTACTGAAGAACAGATCCACTCATCAGTCACTCCAGTTCCCAGCACAACCAGCTTGTGGTACCAGATACCTCCAAATCAAAGCTTCTTTGATGCAAGCTGTATAACAGTGTATCTATCCTTCTGGCATCTAGACTTCCATACAGCTCTTTAGTTAACATTGTGTCTCTTTTTCCTCCACACTGACAGGCATGTATAGTGGCAAACTTTCTAATGGAATGAGTACCAAGCTTCCCTTCCACATCTGGTCTTTCAGAAACAAAAGCTTTATTATTCAACAATTGGCACTTCATAAAATTAGAATAGTTAATTTGAACTTGCTCACTTCTTTGTCCATAGCAGCAACAGTACTAGACCTTCTACTAGTAGTTCCTTCAGTGAAGAGCCACGGACTGGAGGTACCTCCTCCTCCTTCTTGCTCTACTAGTAGTACACCATTTCTCAAGGAATAGAGCAAGACCAAGTGCCACACAATACCTCTCATCCATTGATCAAAGCAAAATCTGCCAGGAAACTCAGTAGATGTTTCCAAGCTGCTCTTTTCTACATGAGTAGTATCATCATCATTTTTGACCAATTAGATGGAACTGAGACTTGATCAATGGTAGATAACAGAGGCCATTCAACAGTGTTCCATGATGCCCAATGAACTCCAGTGCCTGGAGGAACTCATTTTTAGTTAGCGGTCAGTCCATCATACTACTTGCTTGCCCAAGGCCTCTCTTGTTTCCTTCTTGATAACAGCCATAATTAGATTGTTCTTTTGTTGCAACTTTGTAGGAATGCTACTTTTGATACTGTGACCTTGATGATACTACTACCTTGAATCACAGTCCATTTGTGTAGTAGCTTGTTTGGCATAAAATAGGACAGAACCTTATTCTTGTAATAAACAAGGGAAGAACTTCTTCTTCCCTCCCTCATTAGGATTGTCATCCACATCTGGATCCACATGACCATAAACTTTCTTGGCAAAGAACTTGTAGATGTCATCTGCTGGTGTTAGATGGCCCCCCATCTCCTCGTTAGCTACTAGTAGTGAAGAGTTCATCACTGGGCAACCTTTCATCCCCCCAGCATGATCTGGTGGGCCTCTGCTCAATTAGTAGTATCATCTTTGTGTCTAGTAGTAG